ATGACAGGAACTTCTGGGACAGCTCTAGCTGTTGCTCTTCAGTATTACCTGATTGTAAACAAGTTTTCCACAGTATATGGACATACTGTTGAATCTCGCTGGCGTCAAGCCGTTGTCGGAGATCACGGCTGGTCACTTCTCAAATTGAACTTGAACTGAACTTCGCAGTTCCTTCTCCTCAAAGTTCAGAGCACGCTAGTTCTGAAGTATGCGCAATAAGTATCGTCTTATTTGCATCTCATGGGAATGGTGGGTTTGCTAGTTTCTTTGCTAATGTTAACAGGGTCTCGCTTATTATGAGAGGAGAGAGCTGGGAAAAATCAGATATTTCCGAAGTTTGCGATCTACTGGGAACTGCTTAACCTCTTGGTCGTCAATTACGTTTTCGTTGGATATTGCATATGAAGAGAGGTGCACAGAGATGTGTGAAGTTGAACGAAGTTGGATAAACTAGTAGAAAATGAACTAAGAATTGTTAAAAGAAAGCATTGAACTGGGAAGCTAGGGATCACAGTGAAGAAGGTCGAGTTAAAGGCGTCGAGCTCCTACTGAACGACCAATTTTCCTTGTCGGTTACCATTGGTCATCATGTTTTCCAGGTCAACAATGCAGGCGGCACAGCTCCAACGAACACAAGGACTCAGGGATTTGATCAAACCATGGAGACGTACGACTACGTTATGAATCTCAATACCAAAGTGTTCGTTCGCAAAATTCTACGTTGACTTACTCTTTTTGTATCCTTCACGTTTAGGGTACTTGCTCTTTCAAAAAGTGCTCTTCCCCACCTCATCGCGTCAAAGGGAGAGATTGTTATGGTCAGCAGCATCGCCGCACTCCCTCTAGCGGTTTGTTACGATTGACACTATTAAGGATGACTTAACGCCTTCTACACTTCTTATCCCTGAGACGGAGTAGGCGTGGCTTTTGAGCATGGCATAGGACGGGTTTCTCGTGGGATACTTCAATTTGAAACAACTGCTATCTTGTTCTGTGTTAGATGTAGACATGATTACGACTGCTCCAAAATGACAATATCTCACGAAAACTTGGGCCGCCGCCATTTTAAGGATAAGTACCAGCCACGCCTACGCCTCGATTCTCAGAATATTCAGTAAATTTCATACTTGGCTCTTCGGCAACTTAATGCCAGTGTATAATACCAACTAGGGACCCAGTACGTAAAAAAAATCCGAAGTGCTAACGTTGCGAAAGTAAAGAAAAACCCATTTGAAATGCTTGGAACCCAACAAAACAGCCCGTATAAAGACATGCAATCAATCGTTTTGAACTACTCAAAGTCGGCGATCGTATTTGAGTATTTTCTAGGCAGTATTTCCTAGCTATTGAGTGGGCCCATTAGTAGTAGCGTTCTTTGGTCACTGGAAATATCGCGCTAAAGATGAAATTGAAGATGAAATTTGTCACTGAGTTTCATACCGTTTTGCAGAGAATCCCTTGCCCTATACGACAGTCCCTTGTTTTTTTTTCAAAGTTTCTTTCCTTTGATATTCATGTGATGAAACTGAGGTGTCAGGTCAACGAAATTGAGCAACAGCCTCCGACAGCCACGCTTTTTTGATCCTATTCGGAGGTACGGTCCGCGATCAGGTACTATAGAAGTTGAAAATATGGTCGGGAGGGCAGTGTGTCTGCAACGAACAACCTATACCGGTTTTGCGGCAAAAAATCGTAATAGAGGAGTTAGAGCGCAATACAGATCCAGTGACGCGTCCTTTTTTCAGTGACTCCGCCTTCAATGCCCGCCTTTCAGTGAAAAACGAAACTGCAGTCGAAAAAGCATGAAAATCGTCACTTGTACGGTCGTAGAGTTCTTATCGGGGAATCAGCTGTGCGGATGGGGGCGTAGTGTTGGAGATGGAGTTGATTGGGCACGTGCAAATTGGGATCGAAATGGGGTCCTATTTAGGACTATTGCCCTGAATCGATCACTGCTCGATCGCCATTGGTAGAGCAAGATAGCCGCATGCCACGCTCCGCTCGTCGTCCCTGACTCAGGTGCAATGTTATGAACTACATATGGCTAGGAGCTGTGTCCCTTGAAAGAACTTACAACGAGTGATTTGAAGATTCCAATTTCCATTTCAAAAACAAGCATCGAACCTAAAGATTTTGAATCCAACTGAGAGCTTACTGTATTACCTTATTCACAGAGATCCATGGCAAAGAATAAGGAATCGTCACAAGTCATGGAATGCTTCGTTATCATTATCACGCATCATCCTCAGTTCATGTTAAACCTTTGAAAGTTAGGGGGAGGTTCTGCAGGCAGTCGCTCCACAAGAGCCCCCCCATGCGTCGCACATTAACAAGGTCCTTCCTTGATCGCTTGAACTGATTTTGTGGCGTCGTGAGAAGCATCTTTCCTCGATCAGTATATCACTTCAAGCTTCCTCAGTGCGACATTCCATTTCAATGGAATAAAAACCGAGAAAAATTAATAACTAGTAGGGAGGCTCTCACACTGTCTTCAACTTTGAGGGGAACTTTTCTATCGAATAGCGCGAAATAACTCAGAAACGATCCTCACTTTTCATATAACAATTTGTATAAGAAAAAACGCCATTAATTATGGCCCAGCCAAATGATATCTCAACATAGCGAGACGCTCCTACATCGAAGCGACTACTGCCTGGCATCTGGCGCCATATGCAGCGCCTTTTTAGCCACATTGCCGCACCCTGAATCTAACGACTGACACCCATAAAGGACACAGTATTCGCTTCTAGCAGGACTTAGCCATTGAAGATTTGACGCCGGCACAGGATTAGACTCCCCTACTCATCTCCACATTGTTGCCCATTTCTCTTATCTCTTGTCTTTACCCTCGCGCAGCTCCTGAAAAGGTCCCGTTTCTGAATGCACGATAATTTAATTGGTTCATGTTCGGTATTACAGCGAACAATTTTAGGCACCAACGTTTCCATACTACAGCATGTCTAAGGCCGCCCTTGATCAGCTCACGAGGGCCCTGGCGGCCAAGTACATTCTGGATGGTGTCAGGGTCAACTCAGTAAAGTGAGTTCTTGATCATTGTTTACGTAATTGCTACATGACAAATAGTATACCATTTCGTGGTAAATAAATCCGTATGTACACATAACGAGTCCGATATTTCGCTGTGACTGTTTCTTTGTAGAAAACAATAACGCTTTACAGTTCTGAAACCAGTAATTATTCTTTTCAGCCCAGGAGTCATTTCAACCACTATCATGCAGAAGCAAGGTATTTCTGAAGAAATGGCAAGAAAGGTAATAATCTGAAGGTCACTCGCTTGATTAGAATTGAAGGAAGGCTTACATTTTCGGAAGAACTTTGCCAAATCCTTGCAGGATCAGAATGCGAGGTTGTTTTACGTGATCCTCTAAGATGCAGCTCCTCTCGCAAGTGGCATTGTGAAACCGTTTCGCATTCTGTTCCTGGGAGAAGTTCGACCCTGCTTGTTTTTCCACGCTCATATTCTTCATTGAAACGATAGAGTCCGTTTTATGGCTATTTGTTTAGGGCGAAGCTGCCATGGCATCAAACAGATCTTTGATACCGGCAGGTCGAATTGGAAGTTCACGTGACGTTGCTGAAGCGATCGCCTTTCTTAGCCGATCGCCGTGCTTCATCATTCATTGTAGGCCACTCCTTGGTCATCGATGGAGGATCGTCTATTATGTGCCCAATTTTCGGACTTGATATGGCGAAAGCACTTAACTAATTCAGTAGAAGTTATTTTATGAGTTTTGATTGAATCTGAGTATTATTAGGCGAGCAAGTCAAAAGACAAGTGTAAAACGTTCTCTTGATTGTATAAACGTGATTGATGGGAAGAGATTTATCCTCCTTGAACACAAACTCACTCTAGATCAAGTTAAGAGATTCTCAGATTCTAGCTGACACCAATAGCACATAAACTTCATGTCAACCAAAACATCCAAGATATATCGCACGCAGACCTTTTACCGATATTCACCTTTTACCGATATTCCCTCTTTCACAGTAATGAACCGGTAGGATTGCTCTGTCATTCCGTTACGTTCAAAATTTAGAAACCGATAAGATTTAGCGAGACAAATAGAAATTCAAGCCACAGAAATCACAAAAAGACAACCCGCACAGGGCAAGAGTTCCGCTGCAGAGTAGTTGCGGGATGCGTCTCTCACGAAGCTCACTGTGACGGTACTCCTCTTCCAGCTGGACTCAGACAACTCAGACAGCGATCTCAATCCGTGTCTGCTCTGATGTCGCACATGAGGTTCAGGCTGCGGCAAAGTAGCCAACAAGGCGTTCAAATGGCCTAACGTATACTGAATTTGACATGCCTGTGGTTGATTCATGGTCTTAGCGCCACGGTTATATACAGTTCCACACGGCGACAATTAATTTTGAAGGGGATTCCGTATGATGGTTAACGATAATCATCAAAGCATCAATGTGATTCTGCAGCCTTCTCTAATCAGAGAGCCAAAGAATGTCTAATATCTTGATATAACTTGAGCGTACAACGTTTATTTGAACGTTTATCTGACCGTGTTATATTGCAGAGATCAATAGCTGAATGCAGGCTCGTTGGTGGATGAGCAGGGCCACCAAAGAAGTGCGGCGTTCTGAATTCAGAGTTCTGAATCCCATTTTCCTATGAGTTCTCATAATCAATGAAGCAGAAAGGTACTTTTTCCTGATCGCTATTCTGTATGATCAGTAAAAGTGGTCAAGTACACTAGTCTCTCATATATAAGGGCTTATGTTGTTTGCTATTTTCTGACTGGAGCAGTTCCAGAGTTTGCGATACGTTCCTTTGAAGGCAGCGTCCACGTTCACTTGATGTTCCTACGCCCTTTCTGGGTATCATAGCCCTCCCCATAAGGATGCAGTATGTACTAGTTTTGCATCTCACAAAGGCGAGAGGATAGCGCCTATCGCTAGTAAAGAGTCGACCGCCCCGCCCACCTGGCGACCACGACGCCCAACTTCATTTCTAATGGTTGCCTGATGGTGCGGTTGTTCCATTGCTGCTTCTCTCCACGTCGTGTGGTGAGAGTGAGGTGATAAGGGGAAACAGCTGAA